TCCTTACAGAATGGCGGGTCATGAAGACAGCCTGACGAGAAAGCAACTGCATAATTTAATGTGCACGCTATGTCACTATGCATGTGTTACACCGTCAGAAGCAGTGAAGAGTTCGTTCGGGTGGAAGTTTGTGGCGCCATGATTGAAACTCGCGGTTTGTGGACTTAGGATAAGGATGAGGAAGATCCGGTGTGTACTCAGCTTATGAAGCCGCACCTTCTATCGTTCAGAATGATGAGTGATGTCGGGTGCCACAGCACATGGCTCAAGAACTGCTGTCGATCATGTGTCATTGCTGCACACACACACTTTAGGAAACAGTCCGCTGCACTGAACGACCGCCACGGTTGTAATGTTTTGATCCCAGCTACAAACAACACTAACTGCACCCAAGAACCATGCACAAAACATACATGACGTAAACATGCACTTGTGGTCACAGAGAAAGCGCCCAATGTCATGGCCTGAATGTCATCGCGTGCACTTTTGTGATTGTTGATTGCAGTCATGACAAGCTCAGGCGACGATGGTGCAGCGCTTTATGCTAGCATGCAGATCGCCTTTGCGGATTGTCCACCCCTATGTGGTTTCGGCTAAGCCCCTAAGCTTATTGCAAATCAACTTGTTCACTGATTGTTTGTCAGGTCCGCTCGCCGACCGCACCAAGATGCTTCAATTTTGCAGGGTGCTTTTCTGCAATATGCCATTCTTGGCAAAAGCACGGCAGTAGTGCAAACATGCGTACGGCAGGTACAGGGCGGCAAGCGCACTGTCCAACCAGGTGCACTCTTGTGCATCATGGTGAAACAATGCTGATTCTCATGATCGTTGTTCTGCACTCCAGAGGCCCTTGAGTCCTTGGGCTCTGTTGTGCACGGACCACGATGCCGGACCAGTCGAAAGTGTTGTTTCGCCTCTTGATTTGAGATGTGTCGACTCAGTGTGGGGGTGTGTGGGGGTTTCTCAACGCAACCGTCTTGGACGTCGGAACAGTATCTTGTGGTGGTGGCTCTCTGTAGATTGTCGCGGTTCCAACAGGAGGCAGCTTTGCACAAGTCACAGAACTTGCCGTTGACTGTAGGGTCTCAGTCTACACCTGTTGATGTGGGCTCCAGGCATGCGAAATGAACACGCTCACGCATTTTAGCATCCCCGGGTTTGACGACCCTTACCTTGTGAGAGACATCGAATGATCGTTTTGCCTTGTGAGCTAGTCGGGCCGCGTCAGAACTGTTCTCAAAGAAAGTCGCGATCCACAGTTTGTTCGTGAATTTGTGTCGCATTTGATGCAGATTTTGATGTACATGCTGGGATGACCCTTTCATGAAATGTGTGTGGGTTAACGGATAAACTTGCCCGATAAGGAATAGCGGCATATCCCGTTATCTGTGGATCTCGGGCCCCGGGCCCCGGGGTCTTCCCGTTCTGCCAAGCTCGAGTCAAAACCGTTCACAACATGCGAAAGACGGTTGGGTGGGGATAAAGCTGGAGATTGCCTCCAATCCATGAGGACGGGCAAGACCCCAGGCATCTCCAACAATCGGTGTGCAGCTGCCTCAGCACGCTGCTCCGAGTGCTAGCGCGGACTGATGTCCATCTTCTTCGATGACGCACCAGCGGAGCTCTATTATGCTGACTTGTTGATGCTGGTGGGCTGTGCTTTTGTCTCGACGAAGCTTTTCCCTTGACAGATGGCTGCTCGTAAGTTGACGTGGCCCAGAAACTCACTTGGGCAGCATGAAACGGGAAAGGGGTTGCAGACGCGGCTTTCCTTGCCAGTATGGCAACTGTGCAAATGGTCGGGACCACAGGGAGCCACTCAGTCCCGGGTGCCGTTCAGCTGTTGCGTAGAACGAGAGAGCTAACCGGTGATGATTCCTCATGCTTTGTTCTCACCCCGATGCAGTATTCACGTGTGATTTTAACTGTCCCCGTGCTTAGATTGGTGTAGAGTATACAGAGATCATGTGCGCTTGGCTTGCAAATTCCCAAGAGTCTGGAGTGTCTGCCCTCAATGGTACATGTTTCTATGTCCGAGTCGCCGGTGTGGTTCTCGACGTTCACGCTGGTGACACGCACTAGCTTGATCGGCTGCTTTGAGGGGCCATGCCGGCTCTCGCTGTAGACACTGCGCGTCGTAGGATGGATTTTGCTTCCTGCGGGGCATTCTTGGATGAGTTCTTTTTGGATGAAGGATTGGGCGGAGCACATGTTTCCGATGTGGCTGGTATGACATCACTGGCTTGGCACTGCACCAATTATCTCCAATCTTCGCACGGATGGGCCGAGGCTCGCGGGACTCGTTCTGATTCGCCCCGTCCACAAAGCATCGGGCATCGGATGCTGTCGATGTTCCTGTAAAATAAACGGGTGGAGGTGGATGCGGCTCATGGCAGTGTTTTGGCAATCCATGCGTGAGGGTTGCTTGTTGCGGCTCCAGATGGCGAGATGTTCAAGGTGCTTTCATAAGTCACGAAAGCTCTCCCCAGGGAGCCTTTCGTTTCAAAAGTCAGAACTTGTTCTGCCAGAAGGCTTCGGGGGTGTGGGGGGGGGGGGGCCTCCAAAGAGTTTGGCTCCAGCGGGTGGGTTCCTAGACCACTCCACTGGAGAAGCGAGCCCCGCATGATTCTCATGATGCTCGCCTGGCGGCGCCAATTGGGATCCCAGGATGCTCATGATGCGCTTAGCTGGCTTAGCTTCTTTGAGACGCCTAGCATCTTCTGTGTGATCGTTGAAATTGAAACAACTGTGTATGACACTATTCGTTGTCTTTTTCAGCGATTGTAAGATACAGGGTCTAGGGCTTTGAGTGCGCAAGGGTTGTGTATGACCCCGCTCGTTTTCTTCTGTATGCTCCTTGGAAACTGAAACAACCTGAAACAAATGTGTATGACACCATTCGTTGTCTTTTTCAGCGATTTTAAGATACAGGGTCTAGGGCTTTGAGTGCGCAAGGGTTGTGTATGACCCCGCTCGTTTTCTTCTGTATGCTCCTTGGAAACTGAAACAACCTGAAACAAATGTGTATGACACCATTCGTTGTCTTTTTCAGCGATTTTAAGATACAGGGTCTAGGGCTTTGAGTGCGCAAGGGTTGTGTATGACCCCGTTCGTTTTCTTCCGTATGCTCCCTGGAAACTGAAACAACTGTGTATGACACCATGCGTTGTCTTTTCAGCGATTTTAAGATACAGGGTCTAGGGCTTTGAGTGCGCAAGGGTTGTGTATGACCCCGTTCGTTTTCTTCTGTATGCTCCTTGGAAACTGAAACAACTGTGTACGGCGGTCTAGGGCTTTGAGTGCGCAAGGGTTGAGTATGACCCCGTTCGCTTTCTTCTGTATGCTCCTTGGAAACTGAAACAACTGTGTATGACACCATTCGTTGTCTTTTTCAGCGATCTTAAGTGCGCAAGGGTTGTGTATGACCCCGTTCGTTTTCTTCTGTAACAACTGTGTGTGACACCATTCGTTGTCTTTTTGAGCGATTTTAAGATACAGGGTCTAGGGCTTTGAGTGCGCAAGGGTTGTGTATGACCCCGCTCGTTTTCTTCTGTATGCTCCCTGAAAACTGGAACAACCTGAAACAACTGTATGACACCATTCGTTGTCTCTTTCAGCGATTTTAAGGTACAGGGTCTAGGGCTTTGAGTGCGCAAGGGTTGTGTATGCCCCCGTTCGTTTTCTTCTGTATGTTCCTTGGAAACTGAAACAACTGTGTATGACACCATGCGTTGTCTTTTTCAGCGATTTTAAGATACAGGGTCTAGGGCTTTGAGTGCGCAAGGGTTGTGTATGACCCCGTTCGTTCTCTTCTGTATGCTCCTTGGAAACTGAAACAACTGAGTATGACACCGTTCGTTGTCTTTTTCAGCGATTTTAAGATACAGGGTCTAGGGCTTTGAGTGCGCAAGGGTTGTGTATGACCCCGTTCGTTTTCTTCTGTATGCTCCTTGGAAACTGAAACAACCTGAAACAACTGTGTATGACACCGTTCGTTGTCTTTTTCAGCGATTTTAAGATACAGGGTCTAGGGCTTTGAGTGCGCAAGGGTTGTGTATGACCCCGTTCGTTTTCTTCTGTATGCTCCCTGGAAACTGAAACAACTATGTATGACACCGTTGTGCATGCCCCCGTTCGTTTTCTTCTGTATGCTCCTTGGAAACTGAAACAACTGTGTATGACATCATTCGTGGTCTTTTTCAGCGATTTTACGATACAGGGTCTAGGGCTTTGAGTGCGCAAGGGTTGTGTATGACCCCGTTCGTTTGCTTCTGTATGCTCCTTGGAAACTGAAACAACTGAGATTTTAAGATACAGGGTCCGGGGCTTTGAGTGCGCAAGGGTTGTGTATGACCCCGTTCGTTTTCTTCTGTGTGCTCCTTGGAAACTGAAACAACTGTGTATGACACCATTCGTCGTCTTTTTCACCGATTTTAAGATACAGGGTCTAGGGCTTTGAGTGCGCAAGGGTTGTGCATGACCCCGTTCGTTTTCTTCTGTATGCCCCTTGGAAACTGAAACAACTGAGTATGACACCGTTCGTTGTCTTTTTCAGCGATTTTGAGGTACAGGGTCTAGGGCTTGGAGTGCGCGAGGGTTGTGTATGACCCCGTTCGTTTTCTTCTGTATGCTCCTTAGAAATTCTTTCGTCACCCCCTTCCGGGTCTCAAGTGGCGAGTGGTGGTTTGTCGAGGTCAACCACCTTGGTGTTGGTTTCCTGACATCACGCAGAAAAAACGGGTGGGTGACATGAAGAGGGTGGAGACCGGAAGGGGCGGCACGGTCGTGCAGGCAATCCCACAAAAAACGTCGTGTTGCGCCCCTACCATGTCAGAATCGTTGTGTGTGACCGATTTGAGTTGCCTGTGTGGTTTGTTGCAGCGAGCCTTATGTCAGATGAGGGGCCAAACAGAAGGCTAGTTCAAAACCTGCACGTTCCTAAACTCACGCCCATTTATGCTGCATGAAGACATGTCACATCATTGAGATCAGATCATGTCATGTCGGCATGGGTCGTATCGTTAGTTCCACAACTGAAATCCGGTGCACTAGTGCAGGCCGGCCACCAACCGGCCGTGGTGGATGGTGCCGAGATCGCAACTCGTGGGGCACCAGATGAGCTGGAGGACGGGCATGCTGGACGATGGCTTGCAAGTGCAAGCTTGAAGCCCGGCCTGATGGTTTCCGGCTGCAGGCCGACAATTCCATTGAAGCGATCTTAGCACGGAGCCGACGGAAAGAGTTGGTGGCACGAGTCCGGTGCTTGGTCAGGGTTCTAGTTACAGGAACGGGGGATGCTAATGTGTTCATGCAAGCCACGCGCGTTTGCGCAAGGCCGGACCTGGAGCCGTTCGCTATTTGCCCAGTGAGGACCCCAATGCAGCGCACTCAGCCACTGTCGTCCCGCGTCTGGACACTGTCCACCTGCAGCGTTACAGAGGGCGAGGTTGCCGTAGCCGAACGTGTGTGGTATACCCGAACTGTGATTAGACTAAAGTCCCCTTTGTGGGGTCGTAATTGATGTTGCTGCATCATGTTCAGCCATGAAGCCAGCAACATAATAATTGTGTCCTTCATTGAATCAGGGCTGGCTACGCGTGTGTGTGCGTGTGTGTGTGTGTGTGTTTCTCCTGATCGACAGCTGGCATTGTTCAGTGTTCCGATGTCTCTTGGAGTCCTTGGAGTCCCACCGACAGGCATCGACGCAGCAGCGGGACGTCAAAGATGTTGCGTAAGATTTTCGTTTCCGATTCCTTTCGCAGTGCTTCAAGGCATGAGGCCTCTCATGCAAGTGCTCAGTTTTTGTTGCATCTTCAGAGCCCCCTCCGTCGGAATAGTCCTTCTAAGATCAGCGTGTTGTTTGTGGGTTGTGGTCTTCTATTGATTAATAAGTCCTCCCCGCACCACCTACCGCAGGCGTTTCTTCTGCCGGACAACAGGCACGAATTACGTCTAGTGTTTCATGGCAGCTCATGCAAGCACGTATTGCAGTTTGATTCTCGGAATCGATGTTAAGTTGACATTGGCACAGATGTAGTTCACGCAGTAGCGCCTGATTCTCCGACTCGTGACTCTTCGGAGCAGGTTGGAACCTGCGGAACGAAAATGGCAAAAACTATTCGTGGCCCTTCCATGGCTGACATTCGCGGCCATGGTGGGATTCCGCATGTTTGTTTGGATTGTGCCACGTGACTTGCTTCTCCAAGCTTGCATGATGTGGTGTTTGTGTGTGCGAGCAAACATCCATTATGGCAGCTCGCGCTCCCGACCCTGCTTGTGCACGGAAACCTGCCGTACCTTTTGCAGCGGGCGGAGCATGAAAAGCAGGCACGAGATTGGGTGTTGCTTTTGAACCGCAAATCCTTGTGGATTCTGGGGCCTCCATTTTATCTTGCTGGTTGAAGGCAGTCGGAAGAAGAGTTGCACTTGCTGATCGTGCCGGAGCCTCGTCGACAGAAGTGTCGCTGAAAGCGTGGCGATGTTGGATTTTGCAGACTCGAGGCCAGGTCAACTTCAGGGGTCACGATGCACAGCCAGCAGAGCGGAATGTGACACAAAGTGCAAGGTTGCAGATTTCCAAGTCGTCAATTTCGGCCAAATGCATGGGCCTTATGCTTCAGGCAGAATGCCTCTCTTGCAAGTCATGAAGTGTGCACCTGCGAGGCTGAATGTGAGATTTTCGGGTTCCAAGACTCCTTGGAAGTGTAGGTCGTCCAATTTTGCAAGTCAGCATTCAGCTGTTTCCCTGGCATCTTGCAAGTACCTTTTGGCACGGGTTCCCGGTCTGAGGCCAGATGTGTTGGAGCGGCCGTTTCCAACGATGTTGATTCTGTTCCATCCAGCCACGGGCACAGTGCAGCCACACAGAGATTCTCGGTACTGCCGCCGAATCATTCTGGATTTCTCGTGTGCAGAGGCGACGTTCGCCTCAAAAGCTCCAGCCTTAGGATTGCAGCATGCTAGTTTCGTGGTGATATATACATTACACACAGACATATATATATATATATATATATATATATATATATAAGTGCCAAAAATATACATATCTACATAAATACACACATACACACACATGTATACCTATATATATATATATATACACACACATTTTTTGTGTGCATACATATATATATATATATATATGGACCGATACACACAAACAGACTAGTCGTTTAAACAGGTATACAAATGAGGAGTGCGGGGCAGAATACACAGGATTTGCACCAAAACGGGTGGATAGGGTACCATGTATCTGTATACGTAGGTGTGTGTACAGATGCGTGCATACTCACCCTGCTGCAGTATTGTCCATTTCCCACAAGCATACATAAACATTTGCACATAGACATATACATACACAGATAGACATGTCGATAATGCACACATGCACCGTACTAACTACCGAATAGACAGTGAATATACCAAACAAGGCAGAAATCCAGAAACCGCACACTTGCCAAAGGCATGGGCAAGTTCAGTTTTTGCTTTCTATCTTCGGTTTGGTTTTCGTGAAACCTGGAAAACAGGAAATCCACGGTCGACAATTGTCACTGCATGGGAAACACGTTTGTTTTAACCGTAGTGGCAACGTCTGGAGACCAACGGAAGCTTGCAGCAAAGTGCCGCCGAGGTTTGCCGAGCTTGCCAATGCCTGTTTCTGCAAACTTCACTACTTTCGTCTCCGTCCTCCTTTTACTTAGACAGAGAAAAAACAGGCGAACAAGTTCACACAGCACGATCTGAATCTGTTTTGTGCCAGCAGGCGGAAGTGGACACGTAGCGCACGTTTGGCGGAAGTGTTCGAAGACGTCTGGTAGGAGTTGCGCGGCACTTTTGCAGGCTTTTCATTTGTCGAAATTTAGAAGCCGAGCCTGAAGCTCCACACCCGTCAGCGGCGATGTGCAGAAGGTTGGGGAAATTTATTCTAGTCATTTTGCCTTTAGCTTCTGCCTGCGCGCCCAATATTTCCACGACAGTGGCAAGTTTCGGAACCCCGCGTCGAAATGGAAGACTCTGTGGAGCTTGCTTAGACTGCTTGTGCACACTTTTTACTTGTTGTCTCGACCCTGCAAGATGGCAGCATGACGGCTTTCGTGTAGAGTGGATTCAAGGATATGGCTTTATTGCGAAAACATCTGTCTAGCTGAGTCTAGCTGTTGCACTCTCGGACAAGTTGCAGTTCTGCACAGTGAGCCATAGCAAAAGTTGCGGTTGCACACGCAGCCAGCTGCATGTTGCGACTGCTGCGTCACCCCCTTCAAATTGTGAGTTATGTCTTGGCATTTTCGGGTGCGGATGCTAACCAGCTAACTCTCGGTGGCAAAGACTGCTCGTTGCTTCGACTACTCTGAGCGCATCACCGTGGCCCTGACCCATCAAGTAGGAGGCAGCAAGCTGGTTTGCGTGTGCCAATGCACCCCCGAAACTTTTGCATTCGTGTTCAAGCCTCCGCCATGCTCTCGAGTGATTCGCAGTGCTGCTGTAAGAGATTCGCCCCCCCCTCGTCTTCAAAAAACTATCTATAGATGCACGTGGTTCTATTTTTGTACATATACCTACACATGCACATGTGCATACGCACGCATTGTGGTTCTGCAGAACCACCGTGGAAGAACCGCATATGAATATGCAGACTTGACGAGCAGATACGCACATAGTTGTCAATATCCCATGATAACAAATGCATAATTTATGTAAGCATATCTGTATCTTTATCTTTATATATGTATGTATCTATGTATGTTTGTACGTCGGTGCGGAAGTGTGCATTATGCATATAAGAGTCTTACATGTAGGTACTAACTATGCATGGATGCGTGGATGCGTGGATGCGTACATGCATGCATGTATGCATATATGCATGTGTGCATGTGAGTGCATGCATGCATGTCTGTATGTATGTATGTCTGTATGTATGGGTACGCCTGCACATATACAAATATGTATACATATATATATATATATATATATAGATATAGATGTACACATATACATATATATATATATATGTATACATATCTACATATATGCATCTGTATACACATATTTTCCTAGCGTTCCAGGTGACTTAATGTGAGTTCTTGACTCGACCCAGGTGTTTGTGCCTGCGCTGCGGGATCTGGAAGGCACCTGCCCGGCAAGTCTCCTGAAGGGGTCAGTTTTCCTCAGGGTGATGCATGGCAGAAGCACGCGTGTATACTTCGCTCAATTTGGGAACTTCTGAGTTGTGAAGCCTCGCTTGATACTCGGAGCCGTAGCAATCCAAACCCTGACTCTGCGGGCCAGTGAATCACAGTTGGCCAGGCTTGCTGCGCAAGGCCGAGATCCCTGTGAGCATCGCGGCTTTGGATCTGACCGCTTCGCCGTACACCAAGTGCATGCAACAGGTGCAGTCGGCCTTCTTTGCAAGCGTTTAGAAAGCACTTCTCGCCTACAAGAAAAACATCGTTCCTGGCTGCGTCACCGATACACACAACAGAAGCGAGGCTGTATGAGTACACTCGTGTCAAAGCAACAGCACAGAGTGTGGCATAAGACTGACATAAGCGAGGACTGAGAGTTTGTGCAGGGGCACCGTATCAGAAACAGCTCAGAGATCAGGCGTTTGAAAGCAGAAGAGCAGAAGAGCATCACTTGTCGGAATGATCTCAGCTCCCGACCTCAGAGTATGAACACATGCAGCATGCCAGAGAGACCGCAATGCAAGAACATGTGGTGCCTTGTCAGCATGACGCGACGACGCAATTCAGGGGAACAGCGAAACGATGCAGAGCAGCACCACGATGCAGCACCACAATGTTGCTGATTCACTCAGCGATGCAGGAGGCCAAATATGTAACTAGCCGGTGGCATATAGTACACAGGAGATTCTGCAAGCAACGCATCAAGCCTGGGCTCAAAACAGCAACGCATCAGGACACTTTTTTTATGCAGCATCATTCTCCCGGTTTGAGTTCGGAAACAGTCGTCATGCGGCATCGCGGGCAAAGTTATTGCAGGAGTAGCATTAATTTGGTCTGACTAGCGTATCATTCAGTGCATGCTGCGAAGTCCCTTCAGAGCATGCGATTGCATTCTGAGTTCGTGTTCCGAGGCCCGTGCCCCCGGATGCGTTCTTGTGGGAATACCCGGCCGCCACTCCCCCATGAGCAAGACAAGACTTGCCGACTGGTGTTGTTCTGCAGTGGGTGAGTGGAAGCCTCGACAGACCTTTGATGTCATGTCCTTCCGTGGAGATCAAGGCCGTTGCGCCACACATCCAGCTCATCCTGCCGAGATCCATGGATGGAGAGGCGATCCATTATGCACTGAGTTGAACACTGTGTTGTGATGCCATCCGTGACATGACTCATCGGTAGAAATTGTCCTGTGCACTTGTCTACCCTGTTGAGGGTCGTCTTAGACGTAACTTTGCTAAACGAGGCCGGAGTTGTCGACTTCGATGGTGTATGGGACGCGCAGTCATTAGCCATGGCAGCATGCCGCGTGCTCCCTGGTGTGCTGGGTTCGACAGTTTCTACAGTGCATTACCAGCAGACTTCATGAATATCTCAAAATCCCATGTGCTGCCCATGCGTGAACTCGCAGTCAGGCGTCTTTTTCCGCAGCTGCTACCAGGTCTGAGACACAAAGTTTCACACAGACTTCGGTTGTTGGCTATGGAGCTTCAGAACACCTTCCTCGGCTGCAAGAAGGACAGCCATTGTGGCCTAGCAGACTTGCCTGCTCGCGGGCCCCGCATTCCGGATGTTGGTACATGTTCTCGTTCATGTGATATGCAGCAGCTTGCAATCAGGAGGAGCTCCCTGCACACAAGCGGTCCTTGAGTTTGCCGCCGCGGCCCAGCAAAGTCTGCATTGAAGGCGATGCAGAGCTTTCGGAGACGTGACTGTGCAACCTGTTTTTTCTTTCGCAGAGTGGAGGAAACAGCCGTGGCCAGTGCTTTTAGTTCAGGGTGCTGGCGACAATATAACAGGGCATCTGTGCTTTGGCTTGATGCCGTTGGCGATTGGGTCAAGGTAGCTAAGGGGGTGTGAAATCGCCACCTCGGCCAACCGAGGAGATCCAGAGCTATGTGAGGAATCTGGGACATCGTGCCCTTCAGCTTCAACCGCTGGTAGCAGCTGACTTGCATTCAGCAGCATCCGACATGGAAACCATGGGGCGTAGGTGGCTCCCGCAGTGTCGGGACGGAGCGACGACCACGGAAGCACATGTTCGGTATTTCATCGCTTTCGAAGGTGTGACGGTAAGGAATCGAGAAGTTTTAGGTGCATCAGATCTTGCACCATTGTGAGCTTGGTGCTGCATCTTGCGCAGTTGTGCTGCAAAACTGTTTCGGTGGTGCTGCTGTGTGCTTGGTGCGAGTGGCACCTCAGCTTTGAGGGCAGTTTGACGGACCAGGGAAGCAGGTAACTAGGCTCGAATTTCGGAGCATCTTGCGAGCGGGTCTGTGTTTCAGACCTCTGCCGTGCTACCCGTGCCTTGCGCACAATCGGTACTCACGTTGATTGATGACCAGAATATGAAACACGATTTCTACTTTGAAGTTCACAACCACCAGCTACCCTCTTTCCAGCAGAGAAAAGGTTGAGATAGCTGGTGCATTCGGAACCGAGGTGCGCCAAGGAAGACAACATCCCTAAGCAAGTCGAGATGAAGTGCAGCAAAAGCACTGGCGAGGTCACCCCTGCATGTCTTGATAAAAAGGGCTCTTGTTCAGGCTTTCCCTTGCAGAAACGATGGGAACTTGCAGGTACGCAGCTGTGGCACCAGTTTCGTTGCCTCAATGTCTGTGCGCCAAGGGAATTTTAAGCGGCGGCAGGTTAACTGTCAACTGCTGACAGCTCAGCATTCGTTGTAGCTACTTCGGAAATGGCTTGGAATGCTGCATGCAGGCCGGTGTGACACAGTTTCTTTGAGCCAGTAGTGTTGCAGTACTTACCTTCGAGCTCAGACTGTCCAAGTGTCTGATGACGGGTGAAAAGAAAGACAGACGAGCCTGCTAATTCATTCGCAAGCTGGATATGCCTAGCCGGCTTGCCACGAAAGGCGGCCGGTATGTCAGGACACGATCTAAACTGCTGTTGCAGCCCTTGTCTCTGCTGTGCGGGTTGTGGGACCCGTTGATGTTGGAAGGGCTTAGTATAGGGACCTAAATAATTACTAATGCTGTTTTGGGGGTTCCTTATGAGTATACTATGATGGCCCCAAAACCCTATTCTAATTATTAAGGCCCCTACGTGGTCCAGAGCCCTCGGCCAGAGCGCCCCGACCCTATGCTGAAGCTCTAAAGCAATGCAGGGTCAGGCTGCAGTACGCGGTGCACCACTTGGGCTTCCTAGAATCAAAACCTACACTGCAGGGGATACTTCCGTATCTTTTCCCTCCTATTTGTCTCTAGTACAGGACTTGGAGAACTAGACTCGACAGAAAGCTCTTGAATTTACGAACTTGCACTGTTTGCGTTCGGCATTTGCACTTGTTCAGCATGTCTGCCGATTCTTTTCCGACAGGACGGGTTGCATGCTGATCAGGCCATGATCACGATAGTAACCCAGTTACCAGTTCTGGCATGTACTCTGATCAGTCGGTGTCTCCCGTCCCTGCCATGCTAGGCAGGAACTCACAAATTGCACGCGCATGCGAGTGCGCACACAATGTGAGCACTCCAGCATCGTACAGGCTTTTGGCTTGCATTGTGCTGGGCTGAATAAGCAGCTGTTGATTGACTCTGTGTATTCGTATCGAAATGAGCCCGACAAACAACTTGGGTGATGTCGGCTTCGTACACAGATTTTGGCCAAAGGTGCACCAATGAAAGCGCGATTGGGCAAAGGACGTGACATGTCGGTATGACTCTGTAGCCTGGGCCTAGGCCCCTAAGTCGGAATCGAATCGCACCATCGTCCATTGACCATCCGAGTCCTTGGCCCAAGTTTGCACTTCTTTGAGGTGAGCATGTGCCAATTATCATTGGAAACGCGGTCACCTTTTCCGACTCTGCATCGTTGCAGGAGTCCAAGGACAGACCCGCAGCTGCATGTCACCGGACACATGCACAGGCAGCAGAGAGTGAAAAGGCTTTCGCTTTTCCAGGGTTCCAAACAGACCTGAGCAGAAAGCAATTAGCCCGGAATTGGTTTTTTCTGTGAGGCTTCGTCTGTCTTCGGTGTGTCGAGCTGTTGGCATAATCCGAGGCCTCGCCGGTCCTCGCGCTCCGGAGATCTCGGCGGAGGTCCGGTTCTGCAGCACAGCATGGCCCAGCCTTCAGCTCTTGCTTCGCTCTCCGGCGACATCATGTCAACGATGTGTTGCCAGGAGATCTCCCGCTTGGAGAACGGCATTCAGAAGCTTCGCGACCTGATGTTCGAGATGCTTTTTCTGCAGGTGTGTTTTGAGGAAAGCAGCAGCACCTTGTACCGATGTGAATGGTTGCTTGAAGGAGGTGCCCTTGCAAGACGTGGGCCGAAAGGCGGGGCTCCGTGAGGAAAGTTTCGCCCATTGAGCACCAGGGAGTTGGGGCAGTACCTAGCAGATGCAACGCATGCTTGGCAAAATTCCTACATGGGAAGAGGCTCGAGCTGCAGTAGATTCCGGTTGCTAGGGGTAGAGGAGACTGACTAGGCTTCATTAGCAGGCCTGTCGTGAAGACCTCAGTGAGATGCCGGATAATCTCGGCGCTAGCGCGTGACAGTTTAGAACATGCACATGTGAGAGAAAGTGCTTTACCCTAAACCGTATCAATGTTTCAGCGGTATAGGAAGCAGCATGTGTCACGCGACTTGTACCGTAGCAATGTCTCAACAGGAGGCCTGGTGGTCGCGCTGGCTGCATCGAGTACCCCACCAGGTGCACGGACTGGTGTTCTTCAGCAAGTATAATGTGACAACTTATGCACTAGAAAATGGTGGGCCCGTGCGTGATTCCCGTCCATGATACGGCAGGACCGTTCCGCAATTGCCGTGGCTGAGCAGAAGAGATGGCAGGATGGATCGTTATGCAGTGTTGCGAAGGTTTTGCGAAGTTATGATCAGTTGTCAATCAAAACAGATTCAGGGCTCACAGGCTAACAAGCCTGATTTTGCAATGATAAGCCTATACATCATGTTCCCGGTAGCAGTAATTGGCTTCTGGCCAGAGCAGGCTGTGGATTGCTTCATCTGTGATTGGCATGTGGGTTCATCATGCTGCATGGCGACAGGGGTGCTTCGAGATTGATTCAAGGAATGTTGTGTTTTAGGGTACAGCTTTATTGCACTGCTGGCAACACGTTGATGGGTTGGTTCATGCTGCTTTCCTTGTGCCACTTGTGCCGAGACGGGCACACGTTTTGGTTGCTGTTCGTTCATAATATGTCGCCATATGTCAGGGAACACATCGTGCTACATCCTGGGCATATTCACTACTGCACCTGCACTACGCCCCATTTGCTCCTTCAGGCTGTCTACCAGGCTGAGCAAGAAATTGAGATTCTCCATGGTCTGCGACCTTAGACTCGCAAGTCGTGACTCCTCGAACACGTGTAGGTCAGTTGAGCTCAATCGCTGAGGTCTGGAGGTGGCTGCCTCAGGAAGTGTGGTTTCCCTGTTCGGCACCTCACAGGGCTGGTCTTAATGTCCTGCTGCCACTTCGAGGCTGCCATCTCTTCATGCGAGGCAGCACTGCTTCGCCTACAGCAGGGGTCCTCAGCGGCCGCGGAAGATAGCGAGCTCCACAGCATCCAGGCCATGGCCGCAGCCGGTTTGCTGGAACCCGCTGTAGCCCATACTCAGCTTGCCTAGCTAGGGTAATCTTCCTCACATGCACTGCCAGCTTAGATTGCTAGCAAAAGCCGTTCGACCGTTTCTGTCACAGGGCCGGTTCCTGATAGCGCTTCACAATGCCAGCTGATGCCGCTGCGCTGCGTGGTTTTGCTTGATCGACTTCTGAAGCGTGGAGATTGTGCTGCTTGTCCAGTGTCGGCACACCACAATGGCCACGATGTGTGATGCAGGGAGAAAATCGACGTCACAGGAACCCATGCTGACTCCTCTCTGGGCGTTAAAAGCCATTACCTTCTTTTCAGTTGGTGCCAACTCAAGCCTTTTTCGATTCATTGCCGTGTTCTACCACGAGCTGGGCTTAAGCAACTGGCAGATCGGGATTCTTCAAACCCTCCATCCTTGGATGACTTTTCTGGGATCCTTGGTCTGGGCTGCTGCATGTGACGCCACAGGGGCCTACAAGCCAATCCTCCTGCTGTCTAACTTCTGTGGAGCCCTCGTGATGTGCTCCCTTCAGGCCGCTTCGGAAGGGCAATTTACCCGGGTATGTGCTTCCGTCGCCCTGGGATCTTTCATGCTCTCTGCTCGTGCCGGCCTTCTCGATGCTCTGACGCTAAAGGTGGTCGAGGAGTATAGGAGCCGAGCTGCCGGCGTAGAAGGCGCAACTGTGCCGAGCTACGGGCAGCAGCGGCTCTGGGGTTCTGCAGGCTTCGGCCTTTTCGCCCTACTCTCTGGCTGTGCCATGGGGCGAATCGGCAGCGGCGGGATGTTTCTGATTTTTCTGTTCTGCCTCTTGATGACTGTGGTCTTGGTCTTAACGCAGCTGCCAGCCCGCGGCACTAGGCCGGAGCCCGTGCCAGCCGCTTCCCAGGATGCTGCAGGCCTCTGCAGGTTTGATGTATGGTGGTTTTTCTCCAACCTGTTCGTCTATGGAGCTCACATGGCTCTCGTGGAGAGTTTCCTTTTCGTTTATCTTTCTGTTGACTTTGTTGGAGCAAGCAAGCAGCTGTTGGGTGCATCGGTGTCGGTGATGTGCTTTTTCGAAGTCCCTGTCTACTTGCTGATCCAGCGGCTCATCGACCGCTTTCCACTCACGCTGCTCCTGTCGTGTTGTCACGTCATCTTTGCCTTCCGGGTCTTCGCCTACAGCATCCTCCCCGAGGACCGGCCCTACTTCGTTCTTTTCATCGAACCCCTGCATGGGGCCACCATGGCTGCGATGTGGGCTTGCAGTGTGGAGCTCGGCCGGCGCCTGGCGCCTGAGGGAGCCCGGGCACGAATGCAGGCTTTGGTGGCGGGCATCTACTACCGGGTGGCATCAGGAGCCGGGTCCCTTCTTTGGGGACACCTAACACAGCAGCCACCCCTGGGCTACGGCTTTCAGGCCATGTATCGCCTGGCTTCTGTGACCATAGTGTCTTGGTGCATCATCTGGAACGTCGGGTGGTGTCTCCGCAGCGGGATGATCGCGAAGCCGACGGCATACCGACCTCTGCCTGATCGTGCGTGAGGGCCACGTGCGGCGAGGGCCAGCAACAAAGCTTTTGTGGCTGCGATTCTGGCATGCTGGAAAGAGATCGGCAGTTGATGCTCAGTTTGGGATTCGACAGGTTTTGGCTCGTCCAAAACAGATCAACGAACTGTCGCTCGAGTCCTGTGCCTCGTGATTCTCGTTCAGTTGCCGATGGTTTCCCATATCAAACTGTAAGCATTGGAACCTTCCCTGGTCTTCCATGAGTTGATCGTCGGTGTGGCAGTCTGCATTCGGATTTGTACCAGGTTGGCAGTTGGCAGATATTTGCATTCGTCCATTGATTATCGATCCAGTCATTGCCTCTTAAACGCACTCGACGAAGTAGCAGTAGACAGGGAAAGAGAGCAAAGGATCAACAGGTTCCCAGAATGCCCTCCCCGACCACATGTGATTGTGGCGAGCCCTTGCGCATGCAAACGACGGGATTGCTAAACGAAGGGTTTCTGGGAGCTGGCGGGGCGTTGGCGAAAGTGTGACGTTGCAGGCGAGGCCGCTCGAGCACGCCTGACACGGGCAAGGCATGATAGACATCGAAGCGTCTGCAAAAGAGGGTCTGAGGGACCACTGCTCTTTCATGTCCAGGGTCACTGAGTGTGCACTTTTAGATGTGTTGATTGACGGACTCAGCTGCCTGGGCCGAGTTGCCTGAGTTGCGAGTTGGAACTACAAGCTAGCTGCTGCTCAAGCGTTCGCGATTGCTTACGTGAGGTAACCCGCCCGATACATGGTCGAGTTTTTGTGAACAGCATGTATCGCCGGAGTCAGCTCGCAACCATCGCTACATGTTCAAAATCGGATCAGTCTTCCGCATTGGGGCGTCTCGCAGTTGCTTCGTCTGCTTGTGCCTGCCGGAGGACATCTCGACCCGGTAATCGCAGCATATTGCTTCAGCTTGATCAGTACCGCCGATATGCGGCAGCTGAGTCTGTAAGCCACGGTTACTTCAATAAGCTCCAGCTCAGCCACAAAACGGCCAGTAGCACCCCATCTAAGTCTTCGTGCGGCATGTAACCGTAATCTAAACCACAGGAACTGTAATTTTTTCCTTTGCGGGTGTGATGCAGTACGGACTGTTATGAAGGACTGTCCCTTTGTAGAATGAGCAGTCTTTTAGATCGACAAAAGGCTTAAATACCGTAGTGCGTTTGGGTGGCCTCTCTGGCATGGGCCTATCTGGCATTGCGCCGGCTGTGGTCGCAGCTGTGGCTTTTGGTGTCCAGTATGTGCCCGTTAAGAAATACAAGATACTCGTCTGTAAACTTCGTTGAGGGACCATTGTTCCGTTCGGCTTGCACTCTGATTTCTCATGGTTCGGCCCCAGCCCTGAGTGGGAATTGGGGCTGCCGAGACCAGGATCTACGATGGCACCACCTTCCAGCTGCTTTGATGCCAGAAGTTTCCAAAAGTCGCCGCGAGTCGCTGAGCATCTGCCTCGAGCTTCGAGGTGGTTCATGTGCTCTGGCATCCTGTTCGTTGGCCTGGCCTTTGCGATCCTGGGTGGAGATCTACCTAGAGGTTCCCGAACGGGGCACACAACCGCCTTCATTCAATCCATGATCTGTATAAGGAATGTTCAAGCACAGAACCTTTTCTGCAGATTGTCTTTCCGAAGGCATGCCGCCAAAGGTAGTTTTCGGTGGTTGTCTCTGGGCGCTATCCAATTTCGCTTCCTGGCCGAAGAGGTGAGGGCCAGATACGGCACTCTTAAAAGGGCCTTCGCCTGTCGCTTGAGGCTGTGCTGCCACTGGTGAAATTGCTGGGCATCGGCTTGGGCTTCTCCCTGTATCATTTTCAGAACATGATCGTGGGACGCTTGGGCTTGCAACCTTGTTTGGCCTGCGGTGGCCCATGCCTTCAGCAAACCTTGAATCTTGTGCTGGTACTGGTAGCTCTTTGTAGGAAAGTTCGGGACTTGAGTCCTGTGTGTGTTGCAGCGGGGTCGCAGCACGCATCGGCACGTTGTCGCTGTGTTGCTGTTCGGCGCACTTGCTCGAGCCAAGGCTACGTTGTCGGTCGAAAAGGTCTTTTCGGACTCCCAGCTCTTCAGCCAGCGTTCGATGGCAGCACCTCGGCTGCTAGAGCCGGGCGCATCTTTGAAGCCCCCCAAAGCAGGAGTTCATTCTGGTGTGTCTGGGGTGGGAACCTGACATCTCAGGTCTTGTCTTCTGCGATGTCGGCTGCTGCCTGATTCTTGTTTCCTTCGCTTCTCGCTGGCTTTATGGTGTTATTTGGTTGTCGCATTCCCTTCATTTGTGTGAGCCGCGAAGTGCATGCCGCTCAGGTTGCACTGTTGCTAGTGGAGGGTGGTGGAAAAGAGGAGTCCAATGAGAAGGACTCCGAGAACACACATCCTCAGCCGACAGCTCCTTGGCTTCTGCAACAACCCGTAAACCGTCCCTCGAAAATGTGACAGCCTGAACGGCCTCAGGGCATCCGTCCGTCGGCAGGTGCATGGGAAGCCTTGTCAGCCAGACAGCTACGAAGAAGTTCCGGCAGACAGGTGCCGCCCACAGCCAGGGTATTTCGAGAGAAGAAGGAGTCGTAGTTAGAGGCTTCGATGATGCTACGGCTACGGATCAGCACTGCCCACCGATGGTCGCAACACATCCAGAGATTAGCTTGAGCCGCTCTGATCCGGATGCCTGGTGCCAAACCAAAACAGGAACCAGGAACATTTGAAGCACACGCCAAGTTTCATTTGAGCTGGCCTGCGAATAGAAGCCCTTCGGACTTGAGGTGGTTACTGGTGAGGCAAGGAGCGGTTCTTTCGGCGACCGTATCACACACCGCGAACACTACGAGATGTGGTGACCAGGGAAAACCTTCGGAAGGCGTACGAACTCGAACGGTGTCATTGGAGGTGGCGACAAGTTTACGTTGCAAAAGGAGCTTCGAAGTTCGAAGACCTCCAGCAAAGACCCCCGCCTGGGTGTCTGAAGCCCTAAACCTTGCCTGGATTGCCCGAGTGTGAGCGCCGAAACCCAACATCCCTAGGCCCTAAGCTCTGACATGGACTGCGAAGATCGTATGAAGCTTTATTCTGTCCGTTTTTTCTTCCTTTCACCATGATCCCGGACCTAGCTCAGGGGGTTGCGAGCAACGGGCTGCAAGCGTGAGCCTTTCAGGCCGCACCCGCACCGCCTCTTCGAAGAGTCAAGCACTTTCGCCGCCTTTGCCCTCGAGATCGATGAGGGTGATGATGGCGAGGACGGTTCGGGAGATTTCGGACCTGGCTCTATGCCTAGGCTTTAAAGCTTCAGGGAATCAGCGCAGATGAAGTGGTAATCGGGGCGGGGTACAGCCACCGTAGATTGTTGGGTCAGAGTGGAAGTCTTCTCGTGTCATCACAATACTCCGAGATGAGCTGCTGGCAGTTATCACCTATGTCCCGAAATCCTACGTCACGATTGCTATCTACGTATTTCCCCATTATGGTAACTTTGAAGAAGCATACGCTTTGTCAAGTCCCGCAACCCGCTCCGAAATCACACTGTTCCAACAGTACTGACATAAACTAGTATATACTGGTGGAAGCAAAGCACATAGTAGCCACCATCAGTGCACGAGCAAGATTTGCAGGCTTTTCGCCCAGAGGTACCTGATGTAGCCGAGGCAGGGAACTTGCGTGGTCGTCGGTCGCTGAGGTTCAAGTGTGAGGCAGGGATCTCTTCACTGGTTGCACAACTTCGACATCTTCGAAGCTCGATGTCTGTAAAACTGGAGGCCTCCTTGCGACCGTAAAGCCGCCCTTTGGAACTTTAAGCCCTTGAACCTCCCGCCAGTCTGTCCAAGAGAAAAGAGTAGTCACGACAGTGATGAAGTGCTTTGGCAATGATGATGTCCGGAGAAAGAGGCCGAGAACGGGATGATGACGAAGAGAATGTTAGATCATATTCAACGGCAACAGCCACAGGAAAAGCTCCGACTGATGACTTTTGCTTTAGGGTTGAAACCGATGATCCTGACAAAAGTACTGCCAGACCTGCTGACAAAGAAAACGCAACGTCGATAGGAAGAAAAGCGTAGTACAACGGCACAAACAGCAAGGTGCCAAGTATTCTGACATGACCCAGAGTTTCATGACGGGAGCCAGTAATGAGCGTCACAGTATTCAGCTAGGTCATCCAAAACCATACCAGCAGCCATAAAGTTGTTTCAGTCGCAGAAGCAGTAGCACCATTAGAAGAAGGATTAGTAGGAAGTAAGATTGCGAACTGCGAGGTGAATGGCAATTGGTCGGAGAATGAGGGCGCACTCCGATTGCATTCCCCATTCCTCGCTTGTGCTGCAGGTCACGCCAGAAGCCACGGCACCTCCAAGGCTCCCCAAGCCTCGGCTGCGCAATTTGAGGGATGTATTTCCATAAGACTTGGGGTTCAAAGGTTTGTGAAATCCGCTGCGGTCTCCAGAGGTGGTCTGTGGGTTTGTCTGCAGATTTTTGGCACGAATCATTGCAGCTGTTTCTGTAGCATGAGAGGACGGCGTGAAACGCACCTACAGTTGCCTTGCAAGTGCCGCGGCAGGAAGCAACCTTGGCGGAACTGCGCTCTGGGCGTGCTGCTTGCAGCTCGGCCAATTCCGTCGCTTGTTCATGTTGCTACTAATTACTTGTAGTAGTTAGTAGTACTTCTGGCCATACAAGTGAGCATGTTTTCGAAATCTGTCGAGCAAGTCAGTCAGAATCGGAGTGTGCACGGGCTCGCATGGGCAGGCAAGCAGCCAGCCGACAGCCTCAAAACGGAAACCAAATGGTTGGACAGAGCATGTACAAGAGGGGACCTGCAAGTGCGCAGGACTGCTACAGTTCTGCTACCATCGCAAAGATCAGGTTAACTTGCAAGACCAACGCTGTACCAACCCTCGTGGTGGTGACGGCCGTCACGGTTGAGATGCTGTGGCACGAACGTGCACCGCATGTTTCCAACCTTCGGGAGAAAGCTGACCAGGCCCAACAGGATCTCGCATGCCTGTGTGCAACGCCCAACGGTCCAATTTCCATCCATGTCATCGTTACCATCCTTGCTAATGCCATCCCGGGCATGATGCTGATTTTGGTGATGCTGATGCTGATGCCAGTGATGACGGCGATGACAACCAGGAGGTTAATGACCAGGAGCAGGGTTGTTGCCATCACTGCTGATGCCTGTGGTGCCGTGGTTGATCATGACAAATGTTGTCAGTGGTGGTGTTTGTAGTAGGAGTAGGAGTAGTAGTAGCAGTAGTAGTAGTAGTAGTCGTGGTGGTGGTAGTAGTAGTAGTAGCAGTAGCAGTAGCAGTACCAGTACCAGCAGTAGCAGCAGCAGAAGCAGTAGTAGCAGTAGTAGCAGTAGTAGCAGTAGTACCAGTAGTAGCAGTAGTAGGAGTAGTAGCAGTGGTAGCAGTAGTCGCAGTAGTAGCAGTAGTAGCAAGTAGCAGTAGCAGCAGTAGCAGCAGTAGCAGCAGTAGCAGCAGTAGCAGGAGCAGGAGGAGGAGTAGTAGAAGTCGAAGTCGAAGTCGTAGCCGAAGCCGTCGCCGTAGTGGTAGGAGTAGTGCTAGTGGTGGTAGGTAGTAGTGGTAGTGGTAGTGGGGGTGGTCGTGGTCGTGGTGGTGGTGGTGGTGGTGGTGGTGGCGGCGGTGGTGGTGGTGGTGGTAGTGGTAATGGTAGTAGTAGGAGTAGAAGCAGTAGCACAGTAGCAGTTTCATTATCAGTAGCAGTAGCAGTGGCGGGAGAAAGAGGAGTCGTAGTGGTGATAGTGCTAGTACTAGTCGTCGTCGGCGTCGTAGTCGTCATTTGTCGTAGTCGTCGTCGTTGTTGTCGTCATCGTCGTCGAAGTCGCCATCGTCGCAGTAGTGGTTGTCTTAGTACCAACAATAACAGCAACAGCAACCACAACAGCAACAAGGACAACGACGTTCATAGCTCCAGTATTACTGATAGTCACAGAAATGGGCCGGAGGGGCAGCTGCAGAGCCCTGCTTCCGACAAAGTAGCGATAGGTAGAATCCGCCTTGTTCTTTTGCGTCTTCTTCTTCTTGTCGTTGTCGTCGTCGTCCCTCCCTGAAGATTTTGACGATGATGCTGCTGATGTTGAGGAGGGGATGGATTGGAGGGGGCAGATCTCAGCTGAGGCGATCGTGGCCGGCAGCCTGACAGGCGTCCAAAGCGTGCCGGCCACACTCTACAGCCTGGTCGCTCACTTGCAAACTTCTGGAATCTGGCGGGATCTTGAGTTTTGAGACTTGTAGCAAATTGAAAGGTCGGGTCGTGGATTTCAGGATGGTGGATTAGCACTTTTCCACTTTCCCTGCTCCCCAATTGGGGCACTTTAGCGCCATCAAAAAGGATGTTCGCAGGTTTGCCGATGCCCTGGATAAGAAGCTCACAATATCCCCATCCATTGATGTTCTGAACCCTTGTGTTGGAGCCGAAGTCGCTACCTCGAACGTAGTCCTGATGGCAGGCGGACTGATACGATCCACTCTGCACTGCACATACCTTCGTAGCTGGTCTCTGTTCTTTCCTGGATCCCTCGGCACTTCGGGCTCTCTGTCTGCACGCATCCAACGATGGTGAACCGGAAACCTCGAAGTGACAAAGACATTTCATTGCAGTTTCAGAGTGAAAGACCGAGAGGGCTGATAGAAGCTACAGACGCTGAACGGAATTGTGTGCCTAATGCACGGGGGAGGGGAGAGTTCGTTGAACCTGCTGAAAACAAAAAGTTGCTGACAAGTATAGCTTCGCAACGACAAACTCAGGAGCATCCAGACTATCCCTCAACCGCCGTGGTCTTTCCACAATGCGTCGGAGTCTGGTTTGCTTCCACTGTGTCTGGGCTGCACTTGGCATTGAGTTTTGAACCTGGGGAACCGCCAGAATTCAAGCTCCACTCCTAAACGAAGGAGCTGAGAACTTGGTTTTGCTTGTTCTACAATTGTCGGACAAGTTGTAGCTCAGCACGCTTTGAGGAGACGGCAGAAGCAAAGGCCAACCAAAATTCTGGCATTGCTCAAGAGTCCAAGGCCATCTATGTCGTTTACTCCGGCATTGCCCGCTTGAGAAGAAAGCCGGTTCTGCATTCTGTGATACGCCCTGCTTTCATAAGCGGCTGCATCTGGTCATTGGGTTTCCTCTTCATGATTCAAGGCATCCACCAGCCACTGGCATGCATACAGAATCCCTTAGATGTTTTCACGGTGATTAGTGGCAGAAAGACATGGTGCCAACACTTTTCAGTTTCCGGATTTATAGATCCTTATCTCTGTCAGTGGTTTGCATCAATGCAGTCGCCTCGTTGCAGGCTTGGCTTCGCAGTGGGATACACCTTAGTTGCTGTTGGCCCGATCATCGTGGCAAGCTTGGTGTCAATCTGCTGGTGCTCTGGCATACTTGGCCTAAAATCTTAAAAGCAGCCACGAGCGAGCCGCGTCCGAAATTTCGAAGATGGCAGGTTTTTTCAACCCGTGACGAGACCACCGGCATGCCCAACAAGTCACCTGAACAGCTGTTGAACTCAGGTTCAAAGAAATAACCGGCAGGAGGCAACTTTTGCACCCCGGCTGCAGTCTGCTTGTCAAAGCAGCCTATCTTGTAAGCTCCTGCCCTGTTTATGCAAGAGACTGCACGACATGTTCAGTGGTGAGGCCAGAAGTGTGAGCGAGAGAGCAGGCGAGCGAGGTTGTGAGTCTGACAGCGAGCGCGCGAGAGAGAGAGAGAGGAACGTCAGAGCATCATCCAGACGCGACTGCCAACACGGGGGCCCACCTGTTTCCCCCACTGTGTTCTTTTTCCTGAGCCCGTTGCTTCCTACACCGGGACCGGTGTTGACCTAACTGGTCGTGGCATCAGAGTGAAGCATCTGTATGTTGGGCAACACTGTTTAGGTTTGTAGTCTTCGTTGCGTTCTTCTTGCACCCAGGGGCCCTGGCACCGTAACCTTGCAAAACCTTGACTAGGAGTTTTCAACAACCGCATCCCGGAAAGGTGGCAGGTGCATGAAACGAGTCACCGAAGGAGGTCACCGATACGGGGACCCAACTCATCTGTTTTTCCCTTGGCGTTTGTGACCCCGAGACCTTGCTTCCCATACACAGTGAACGCATTGCTATGAGTGGTGATTGTGTTTAGCCTTGTTGTGTTGCTTTGCAGTCCATGCCTCCCTGTGTTGTTAAACCAGAAGAGTAAAAGTAAGGGAATAATGTGAAGAAGATCATAGAGGCACAGAGGGAGGCAGACCTTGCCGGCGAGGGATATATGGCAAGAGTAGATAGACTTGCGAGAAAGTGTTGTACGCAAGCAAGTATGCATGCATGCATAGCATACATACCCACACAAGTACATCTACCATCATCTATCTATATATCTACATGTATCGGTGTATGTATAATTATGTGTGTGTAGACGTAGATATAGATGTGTCTGATAGATGTGTATGTAAGTCTGCCTGTATGCATTTATGTTTTGCATGTATGTTTGTATGTGTGTACATATTGTATGTATATGCATGTATGTGTATGTGTTTTGATAATGTGTGTGAACTGGCAGCATGTAATCATGGGTGTATATATGTATTACATGCGCACACACACATATACACACACATGTATATGTGCATTATCAGAGATGCATGTGTATGTCTGTTTGTTCGTATGAATATGTGTATGTTTCGATCTGCTGTATATGTATACATATATGAATATGTATATGTGCTGCAGATGTATACATGTAGCGCTGTATATGTCTAGATGTACAGTGAACATGTATATGTAAACATGTGCACATCTTCGCACATACACATATGTACATGCTTTTACATATAAGTTTATACATAGTTGTATAAACATATATGCACACACATATGTACACACACATATATATATATCTATACATATATACACATATATATATATATATGTATATATATATATATATATACATCGAGCACGAGTGACAAATATATATATATATATATATATATATACATATATATTTATACATATATATATGTACATATTATATGCATTTACATGCACATGCGAGACAATGCTTATGCATATGCGTGCAAATACTTATGCATACGCATATGCATGTTTGTTTGTTCGGTATACTCCACCAATTTCGATAGGGACCGTACTGTCCATCAGCCGCCCAGACCCCAACACGTACATAGCGGAGATCGTGTCTTCTCCACCTCCGGGGCAGTACGAATACAACGCGGCCATATGATGTGAAAGCGACGTCCTCACATTCCTTTGGGAAGACGGCGAGTGGGTGCTACATCCACCTTAGCGAGAAGGCTGGCTATACCGACACAGCTTCGAATCCGTCGGGAGACCCAGCCAATCCCGACAACACACCGGGGCAGACACCACCAGCAGACACATCGCACAACGGAGAGACAACACCACAGCCCTCGGTGCAGCAGCTACCCATAGCTACCCCAAACCCAGAAGCAACTCTAGGAGCATCCCAAGCCGCAGCCGCGTCACAGTCCCAAACTCTGTTGGCGGGACCCCTCCACGACGGGCGCACACTGCGCCACAAACACACACACACACACACATGTTTCTATCAGCATACATAAATGTATACACATGCAGATACTGGTCTAGATGTAGGTCTAGACAGAGAAATACACGACATATTCGACTAATGTATGTATGCATGCATGCATGTATGTGTGTATGTCTGCCTTCGCTAGCTATGCGACGACTCGTTCGCTGCGTCCAGAAAAATGTATGTATGTATGTGTGTGCGTGCATGTATATGAGCACATTCCTGTTCTGTGCATACATGCATGTTCATTTGTATTTCTGTTTGCGCCGTACACACGTACGTGTGCAGACGATAGATCCACATCGGCAAAGCGCAAGCTGGGTCCACCCGGGACTTGCGTAGGCAGAAGGAGCAGTCCCTGCCAGGTGAATAAATTGAAACAGACTCGCAGCCTCGCAGTATGCACGGCGTCGAACATCAAGAGCATGCAACATTCGTTTGGAGTTCTATGGCCGCGTGAACTCTGAGGATTTATTGGTCAGCTGAAGCTCTTCAACTCCTTGGTGTGATTCTAATTACGGCCTTTAGCCAGCAGTGAGGCTGTGGACTGTGCAGCTGCATGTGCCTCTTCCGCAGGCCCTACTTAGCCGGCTACTGCTCCTTTGCACGGCTCGTGTTCAAGATTGCAAATGTTTGTGTGATAAGAATTGCTTAGAGAATTTATAGCCTAAGTGCACCAACAACGGAGCGGGCAAGTGACATGACATGTGTGCTCTGGTCTTGTACAGGAGCCCGGCCTGCAGAAGCAGCAAAGCTGCAATGCACTGGTCGAGGCGGCTGTGGCACCTCGACGGTCCCAGTCGTCATCGTTCCGTGGCCAGGCATTTCTCGGCCTCAAAAGACTTCAGAAGATGAGACTTATGCCGACTTCAAAAAGGTCGTGGTTGCATCCCAGCCGTCCCTGGTAGTTCGGCCTTCCTGGGTTCTGTGCAGTTCCAGTGGAATTTCACATAGGCTCTGCGCAACAACGATTGAGCCGGCCTAGGCTTAGAACCCACGGGGTCTTGTGGACATAAGAACTACTTGTTGAAGCCGCCCTTGACCGTGCTGCTTGACGTGAGAGAGCTCAAGCTATCATGGCTGCAAGGAGTGCCTGTAGCCTGCCGCAACGAGCAATGTCGTTTCCTCTTTTGCTGGCCCTTCTGCCGTCTGCACTGGCCTCCTTCCCTGTCCCACCCGAGCAGACCAAAGAGCAGCTCAGCAACTCGATGCAAGAGAGCAGCCCACCTGCCTGCCCAGAAAAAATGACATGCAGGGGCTGAGACTAGGCCTAGGCTTCCAAGTGCGTGGCACATTTGACTTGCGATCGCACAGGCCTCTTCCAGAAGACAGCGGCAGCAGCCAAAGAAGCCAGCGATGCAGCCACACCCAAGGCTTCGGCAGTTGGAGCAAAGTGACTAAGGACCAGAACATGCTATAACATGTTTTATATACTATACGGTACCATAATATACTACGCTGTAAAAGCATAGTATCTCATAGTGTGATACACTATGATGTACTCGGACTCCAGGGCTTCATGTGCACATGTAGTCTGGTCGTGTCTGTCCCTAGCCCAGTGCCTTGACGGCCTTGGGACGAATGCTTCAGCATCGCACCTTGCAGCACGTATGACGCGAGAATCTTCCAATGTTGGTCAGGTATCGTTCTTTCTAGCCCGATAGAGCCATCTGGCAGAGGTGTTGGAGTTCTTCGATTCCACCGAGTTTCGGCGGGTGCTGCAGGGCTGCTGTCCCGATGTCGCAGGGCTGAAATCGACGGAGCTCCTCAGAAGGTGCGCGGCCCCTTTCGCGGTGTTCGAGTCTTCAGGTCCAGAGTATTGGTGAGCCAGTACCCTCCCCTTTCTGCAAGTGTATACTGCATACAGGTTTCTTGATACTTGGTGGTTGCGATGGCTGTGTCGAGATTAGCAGGAGCTAGGCTCTTTAAACTTTACACCTGTGGACAACATGTGCTTTCGAGAGCGAGGTAGACGGACTTGCTGCATGTGTCACCCATAAAGTTCTGCGTGTGCCTATTCTTGGAGCACAATATACTAACTTGTGCAGACTTTGGCAGGTACCGAGCTGAAGCTCAAATCGCGGAGCTTTCCCATGTCGCCCGGATTGAAGTTCGAGATTCTGAAGCGTGTCGAGGTGTGCATAAGTTGGGTCAGGATAGCTGCAGCCGGATCACGCTGACCTGCACTAAACAGGCGAGATGGTCTTGAGAGGGTTCCCAGTGCTGTAGCCGCGGGTTTCAAGCCCAGGCAATATCGCTGCTGTGTGTAATGGCGTGTTGAAACCAGATTCTCAACCAACCCCATCCTGGATCTTGAGCAGGGCGCTTCGGAGTCAGAGTTCGATATATGATATAGTCCACGCAGAGTCAGAGATCCGAATGAACATCTGGTGCATACCGGGGCATTGCTCGTAGCGGCCGAGGCACTTCCTTCCGAGCCGCAGAAGGGGCAAAAGAAAGAAGTCTTCGACGACGTCACGGAGTGTTGTGCCGATGCATGGGTGTTCAGAGTACGAGCCCGGCACCAACATCGTTGTCTTTCCAGTACTGTTTACGTTACATCTATGCACTGTGTCCGTCATTGGAGGCTTCGAAGTCTGGGGTGCCGGGAGTCGGTGCCAGAGCTCTGCTGCTGCGCAGGAGAAGGAAGTGGGCCATCTATCTTGGTTCCCGAACGAATTTCAGAGTGCGCTGATGCACAACGTGCCGCTCGCACCAAAGAATATGCAGAGAAGTTTGTGATCAGAGCGCCAGGGTCTTTGTAATTTTCGGTGCGGGTGTAGTAAGAAAGAAGTCAAAGAGCCCGCTGTGCTGCGGCTCTGGAAGGACGGCTTTATCTGCGCCGATCAACAACTACGCGCAGCAGCACATCTTCGGCTCGGCTCCTTTTGCAAGCATGCCTCCCACGTGGCAGGAAGCCGAAAATCGGCTCATCTACGTCGCGCACCATGGCAAAAGTCACCAGAAGTGAGTGGGAGATTGTGACTTGAGGTCGCAGCATGTGCAGATGTTGGCTACTGAGAGATCATTTGCAGGTACCTACTGTATCGGGATCTCCGCATAAAGTCAGACAAAGACTTTTCAAGTCGATGGCTAGAACT